TAGAAACATCCTTGCCCATTCCCTCCCAGTGGAATGACCCCCCCAAACGGTCTTTGGTCCTGTTCACCCCAGCATGGCCACTAGGGTGATCATGGGCTAAGCTCAAGAGCTTGGCCCAGTATTTAGTTGGAACTACCAACTGTCTCTGAGGATGCCAGTCTTCCTGGTGTCCCCCAGAAAGAGTTTCCTTGTATAAAAGTCCTCTTTCTACAACAAACCTGGATCGATTAGAAGAGCTGAGAGGCGGTGGGTTGCTCCGTGCCGCCGTCCAAGCTCTCTGGAGGCTTTCATCTGCTTCCTGTTCGGTCTGGAACTGTTTCCTTGATGCTGGAGACATCAGTTCCTCATTGGATTGTGGACCTAGGCTTGGTCCCTCTGGAAGCGATATAGGGGATGGAGCTGTTTCTGTTGACTGTGAACCGCTCTCCGCTGGTGCACTATGTTGGGATTCAGGCTCCGGCTGAGTCTCTTGGGTCGGGTTATCGGCTGCTGCCAGTTCAGGGTCGGTGGGGCCCTCTGGTGTTGAGGTTGCAAGTATTGGATTCAGTGCTGACACTGGGTCTGGTGTTGGTTGTTCGGCTGGTTCCGGTTCTGGGACTGGTTCCGTCTGGGTCTCTGGAACTGGATCCACTACTGCTGTTGCAGACATTGGCCTGGGGTCTGGGTCCATCACCTCTGACCGGGTCCTGATAGAAGTTTCCGGAACAGAGCTAGGCCTCACGGCTTGTTTAGCCTGGCTGCGGGTGACCGTTCCCACCCTCTTGGCCTGTTTCACATGATTGGCCAAGTCTTCCCCCAACAGCATGGGGATGGGATAATCATCATAGACTGCAAAAGTCCACATTCCTGACCAGCCCTTGTACTGGACAGGCAACTTGGCTGTAGGCAAATTGAAAGAGTTGGACTTGAAGGGTTGAATCATCACTTGGATCTCTGGGTTGATTAAATTGGGGTCCACTAAGGAAGCATGGATAGCTGACACTTGTGCTCCAGTGTCCCTCCACGCGGTGACCTTCTTCCCGCCCACACTCATAGTTTCCCTCCGCTCCAAGGGTATCTGGGAGGTATCTGGGCCTGTGGACCTCTGGTGTGATTCCGGTGCAATGAACTGTAATCTGTTGGGGTTCTTGGGGCAGTTGGCCTTTACATGCCCCAGCTCGTTACATTTAAAACATCGTCCAGCTGACAGGTCACTGGGGCGAGGAGGGTTGCTGGAGAACGGGGTGGTGGGACGATAAGGGGTCTGGAGGGTTCTTTGGGAGGTAGGTGGGGCTTTGGGCAGCCCCCGGTAATAGGGTGTGGTCTGGGGTGGTCCCTTCTGGTCTCCGCTCCAACTGCGACCAGTTTTCTTCTTCTCTGCCACCTCCACCCATCTGGCTCCAATCTCTCCTGCCTCGATTACAGTTTTGGGTTTCCCATCTAGGATGTATCTTTCTATTTCCTCAGGAACACCCTCTAAGAATTGTTCCATTTGCATTAGGAAGGGCAAATTTACTGGAGATTCAACACTTGCTCCTGATATCCAGGCATCCCAATGTTTCACAATGTGGTAGGCATGTCGGGTAAATGACATGTCTGGTTTCCACCTTAGGGCTCTGAACCTCCGATGAGACTGCTCGGGTGTTATCCCCATTCTGACTCTCGCCTTGGATTTAAACAGTTCATACTTGTTCATGTGTTCTTTAGGCATTTCAGCTGCCACCTCAGCTAAGGGTCCACTGAGCTGCGGCCTCAGCTCTACCATGTATTGATCAGTAGAGATGTTGTACCCAAGGCAGGCCCTTTCGAAGTTTTCTAGGAAGGCCTCAGTATCATCGCCTGCCTTGTAGGTGGGGAACTTTCTGGGATGGGAAGTGGTACTTGGAGAAGGATTACTAGGGTTTGTTGGGATATTCTGCTGAGCCTTTATCTTCTCCATCTCCTCCACATACTTCCTCTCTTTTTCCTTCTCCTCCAGTTCTTTGTCCCTTGCTTCCATAGCTCTCCTGTGAGCAGCCGCTTGGTGTTGTTCTGCTTCTCTCGCTGCCTCCCTTTCTTGTTCTTTCTTCAGCCGCATGAGTTCTATCTGTCTTTCATGTTCCCTTTGTCTTTCCTCAGCCTGAAATTTGGCTAATTCGAGCTGTAGTTGAGCCGCGGATTTTGTCATTCTAACCTCTCTGTTTTTAACTAACTTTACACCCGAGGTTTAGAAATAAACAAACAAAACTTGGCTGTAAAATTTTGCTGTGCTGGAATAGAATACCTATTCTCTGATAGTGATTGTCAGCCTACAGAAAAAGACAATTCCCTTGTCTCTGCTCTGGGCCCAAATTAAAGCAATAAACCTCCAACTACTTGGAAACCTGCTTACCCAGCCCAAAGAAAAAGCAAATGGGTAGAACACACCCCCCCTATTTACTTTTAGGAAGAAAAAAAAAAACCTCTGGGTTGGAAGACTGTGAATTTCCCTGCAGGAGTTAAGTACCCTGCCTCCAGGCAAAGAAAACCTGCAATTCACAAAGATAATCCCCTTTTGTCTCTGCTTGGCCACAAAGCAGAGAAAAAACAAGCTGCTTTCAGTTTCAGCTGCTTTCTGGACTTCCTTTCCAAAGGAAAAAAAATCCTTTTTAAAATCTGTATTTCTAGTTCAAAAAATCTCAACTGGATCTCAAAATGATTTCAGGTTAATCCCATCACTATGCCACCATGTCAAGGTTCCTCCCCCATTCTGAACTCTAGGGTACAGATGTGGGGACCTGCATGAAAAACCTCCTAAGCTTATCTTTACCAGCTTAGGTCAAAACTTCCCCAAGGTACAAAATATTCCACCCGTTGTCCTTGGACTGGCCGCTACCACCACCAAACTAATACTGGTTACTGGGGAAGAGCTGTTTGGACGCGTCCTTCCCCCCAAAATACTTCCCAAAATTTCCTGGACAAGGTTTGGTAAAAAGCCTCACCAATTTGCCTAGGTGACTACAGACCCAGACCCTTGGATCTTAAGAACAATGAAAAAGCATTCAGTTTTCTTACAAGAAGACTTTTAATAAAAATAGAAGTAAATAGAAATCATAGAATCATAGAATATAAGGGTTGGAAGGGACCCCAGAAGGTCATCTAGTCCAACCCCCTGCTCGAAGCAGGACCAAATCCCAGTTAAATCATCCCAGCCAGGGCTTTGTCAAGCCTGACCTTAAAAACCTCTAAGGAAGGAGATTCTACCACCTCCCTAGGTAATAAATAAAGAAATCCCCCCTGTAAAATCAGGATGGTAGATATCTTGCAGGGTAATTAGATTCAAAAACATAGAGAACCCCTCTAGGCAAAACCTTAAGTTACAAAAAAGATACACAGACAGAAATAGTTATTCTATTCAGCACAATGCTTTTCTCAGCCATTTAAAGAAATCATAATCTAACACATACCTAGCTAGATTACTTACTAAAAGTTCTAAGACTCCATTCCTGGTCTATCCCCGGTAAAGACCAGCATATAGACAGACCCACAGACCCTTTGTTTCTCTCCCTCCTCCCAGCTTTTGAAAGTATCTTGTCTCCTCATTGGTCATTTTGGTCAGGTGCCAGCGAGGTTACCTTTAGCTTCTTAACCCTTTACAGGTGAGAGGAGCTTTCCCCTGGCCAGGAGGGATTTCAAAGGGGTTTACCCTTCCCTTTATATTTATGACAGGGACCATGATCAAGCTCCTTGTTACGTTTTTTTTTAATGAATGTCTGAAATGCATCTTTATGTTAAAAAAAAATGGAAAAAGGAAACCCAAAGCTGAAGCAGTGAGCACATGTTTTGGAACTAAATCCTCTGTGGAAATAGAAAATGAGCTGTAAAAGTGGAGCCGGAAGGTCTACTGCTGTGGATGATTGTGTACGGGGGGAAACGTGTTTTCATTTAAACTGCCTGTTAAGTCAATGTGGATTTATCCCTGGGGCTGGGCTTAAACGGTGTATAGCAATGCACTTTCACAGTACACCACTGGAGTTGTTTCAAATTGTATAACTCAGATGCCTTGTTACATCCTCTTATTAGTTGCTACCATGGTCCACAACGTTGCTTTTCTCTTTTAGGGGGAGGTACACTGGTTTTTCTCTAGTGGGAACTGTAGAGGGTCTGGGTAACCAGGAAAGGGAAATGGAGTCAGTAGGGCGATGGGAGGAGGACAGATGCTGTGATTCAGAACAGAGATGGGGTGTGGTGAGTTGCAGAGGGACAAGATTAAAAATAAAAAAATAAGGCCGGTTATACCATTTTTGCACTCACACTCATTTCTAACAAGTTTTTACGGGACATATACTGTACACCAGTGTTTGGCACATTTCATGCTGAATTTGTCCTGGTTGGGAATTTAATACAAGACAAGAGTGGCATCTGCTTATATCTAGCCTACATTTGGCTGGCTGAATGGGATTGCTGGTAGTGACATAGCAGTCAGCAGCCTCTGGTTTGATCACTTTTTGTCTTTTATAACTTTCGTATAGTACCCTGGCCATAAATCAAAGCTGCTTTTTGTTCTTAAATCACCCACAGTGGAGACAAGCAGTTCAAATGTTGCCTGGCATCCCCCAGAGGATGGTTTTTCCTTTCACTACAATAGTTCTCAGAATGGGATTGGATTGAGTGCACTATAATCTCCAGGACTTTGTTTTGTCAAGATCTAATGATGGGACACTTCACTATTCCATAGCCTATTATCTCAGTTAGATGTTGCATTTAAATTCTCCCTTACCTAATTCCAACTTGTCACTCTTAATGCACTATCACACACAGTTCTTCAGTTTCCTCGATTTACAGCCTTCCATGTGATTGTTCCCTAATCCCACCCCCTTGGACTGTACTCATTTTTGTTACTCTGCTCTGAATTCCTTCTAGTTTGTTGACCTCTCTCTCTCTCTCTCTGGAACTGTGAAGCCCAGAATGAAAATAAAAACACTGTTGTGCCAAAGAATTGTGGGGAAGTGTTTCTCAGCACTTTTGTTTACATGCAGTTTATTTTGATATTTTTATTACAGGGGTTCTTTCAACTTTTGGGAATGGCTATGTTCTTTTTATGTCCTTGAAACGGAAAAAGAAGCTCAGACCCGCTGAGATAATGACTGTCAATTTAGCCGTGTGTGACTTGGGGATTTCAGGTAATTCAGTGTTTTATTTCTTCTTTTACATTTCCTCCCTTTTTATTTTTATTTCTTTTTTGGCCATGATATGTGAGGCCAAATTCTACCCGGTGTTGTGCAGATGGGACTCCCCTATGTGAAATAGGAAGCCAGGGGGTGCTTGTGATGGCGGAACTCAGCCCATCCTGTTTCCATTCCATTGTTTCTACATTAAAAAAAAAAAAAGGAAAGAGTACAACAGAGAAATTTTAGGGAGGAGCAAATCCCCTGGAAAGAGAATGAAAATGAAGAGAAATATGACCTATTCCAGCGGTCCTGAATCAGGCAAATGGCCCAGGCAGGTTCAAATCTCAGAAGCTCACATTGTACCATTTGGCATGATGAATACAAAACAGCCTTCATAACAGCTGAAGAACACTATATTTCAGTTTTACCAAATGTTATACCCAGGATATAAACACATACTGAACAAACCCCATAGAACGAGGGATGAGGAATGCTGAGGGCTTTGAGATCTTCAAATCTAATAGTTTTCTACCTAGTTACCCTTTTAAGAATGGGATGCCGCCCCTTTTCCTTCCTGTAAAAAGCCATGCTCTACTGTCTGTGTCAATTTGTAAAGAAGAAGCAACCCATGAAAAGATTCATATGCCCAACTCTCAACCTGAATATGTTCAGGGGTGAGAATAGACACCCTTTAGAAGACTGTGCAGCACTGTGGAGGTGCCTAGCTCTTGGTGATACTTTATTTTTTAATCTGATGCTTGTGCAAATCTCATTACACTCATGAGAGTTGTACACACCTGGGAGAAGAACTGTATACACCTTTTGAAAAAAATGGTTTGGACTGCAGGAGTGGGAGGAAATCCACCCGAAATCCACACCTGATATTCACCCAACTAACCACAGGGTGTCATCCGTGTGGTACAAATGATAGCTTAAAGGAACAGGTGGCTCCAAACTTCCTTAGATCCCAGTATCGTTATCTCTCATTTGTTAATACACCTTACAGAAAAGTCATTGTCATTATGCTTTTCAGGAAATGGCATGATTGGGTCTGAGAATCTGTACAAGATGATATTTTCTGGCTGAGTGATCAGCCTGTGGATATACAAATAAGTCTCTGCTGTGGGATTTGCTTGTTTCTAAGAGTGTTAGCATAAAAATGTCTGCTCTAGTGTCAAGATAACCCCCTTAGAATGCTACATTAGGTATTTTCCATCTCTAGCACTTAGAAATGCAGCAAATCAATTCTAGATAGGCAAGAAACAGCTCCAATCTCATACGTCAATTATGCCCTGTGAATCCAACTCATTTAATCGTGAAGTATCAGCTTGCTGGTGACGTTTGCAAACATGCATTCATTTCTGATGCCATCTACTGGATAGCGCATGCCTGTAGTGTGCAACTCACAGTATGTTAAGGATTGTGATTACAGCAAGCATTTTATGATCAGGACTTCTGGGTTCTATTCCCAGTTCTAGTCCCTGTTCCCAGACATAGAGTGTGATCCTTGACCAAATCAATCTCCCTATGCCTTTGTGTAAAAGGCCTATAATGAACATTGAGTGAATACTTTGCAACAAATAATTAATGTGATTAGTTCAGCCTTTTTCTGCTTATGTAATGCTGTGACTAGCACAGGGCAAAACTGTTTGGATGAATAGTTTATTTACTGAAAAATACAATTTTAATCAACCTGAAACTATTTGCAAATTTGACAAGTTTGACCTTACTCCTGGACAAAAGGCAATTACCTCACTCAACCCTATGTTTGAAGATGCCTATATTATCATTGATCTCCCCTCAGTGTCCTGTCTTCTGAATAAAGGTAGTTTTTTGTTTGCTTGTTTTAAAGATTATTTTGACAGCACCAACTTTTCCAATGACCCACTGTTTCCCCTCTTTGTAGTTGTAGGAAAACCATTTAGTATTATTTCCTTCTTCTCTCACCGATGGGTGTTTGGCTGGCTGGGCTGTCGTTGGTATGGATGGGCCGGCTTCTTCTTTGGCTGTGGGAGCCTTATCACCATGACAGCTGTCAGCCTGGATAGATACCTGAAAATTTGTCATTTAACTTATGGTAAGAAGGAAAATTTGCATTGAGTGACACTATGTAGCTATTTTCTCTCCCCATCCTCGCTGGAGACTTGTTTAGAAGCATTAAGCTGAACTGTATAAGAATCATGTTCCCTATTCCTAGGGTGACCATATTTCCCAAAAGGAAAATGGGGCATTGTGCGAGGCTGGCCCAAGCCGTCCCCACCCTTCCCCCTGGGGCTGGCCTGAGTTATCTCCTGAGCCCTGCCTGCCTGTCCCCTACCCCCCCGCTGCATGGGGCTGGCATTGCTGCTCCCCCTGCACATTCCTCTGCATTGCACCCCACTTTTTTGACAAAAGTGGGCATTTGTCCTGTTTACTCTTGCCAATTGATCAAGTTAGCAAGAGCAAATGCCCACTTTTGCCAAAAAAGTTAGGATGGCCAGGACAGGGCTTTAAAAAGGGACTGTCCTGGCTAAAAAAGGATGTATGGTCACCCTACCTATCCCTCAGAACAGTGGGAAAGTTCCTAAAGGTCAGGTTAGGCCCAAACTGTAATTTAGTTTACAAAATCTAGTGTCAGAGGAAATGCTTTCATGTGCTTTTAAAAATTTCCGTTATTAAACAATTTTTTGCTGTGTTTGAAACCCAAACACTGCAGCACTGAAGGTGCCTAAGCAAAAGTGAACAGGGGTAGGAACAAAACTGACGACTTTGATTGATCTATTTTCATAGTCCAAGTAAAAATTATAATAAGAGAAATGAAGAAATAATATGAACAGTAATGAGTAAATTAGTAAATTTAGATTTTTATAATTATTTTAGTTGTAATAATCCATGGTACTGAGAGTAGTAACTGAGAAACATAGATAGAAAAGGACCATTATGATCATCTGCTTTGACCCCTCTATATCATAGGCCATAACATTTCACCAAGTAGTTTCTACATCAAGCCTATAACTTCTAGTTGAGCTAGAATGTATCTTTTATCAGAGGGTTAGCCATCTGTATCCGCAAAAACGAGGAGTTCGGAGGCACCTTAAAGATGAACAGATTTATTAGGGCATCAATTATTGGGAGTGTACCACATACACCCTGACTAAATTGGCCTTCAACACTGGTTCTCCACTTGTAAGGTAACTCCCTCTCTTCATGGGTCAATATATATTTATGCCTGTTTCTGTAATTTTCACTCCATGCATCTGAAGAAGTGGGTTCTTTACCCACGAAAGCTTATGCTCAAATAAATCTGTTAGTCTTTAAGGTGCCACCGGACTCCTCGTTGTTTTTTTTTAACATATCTTTTGGGAATACAACCAGTCTTGATTTAAAGACTTCCGGGCATGTCTGCACTGCATCTGGGAGTGTGCCCTCTCAGCCCAGGCAGACAGATTTGCACTAGCTTTGCTTGAGCTTGCATGTTAAAAATAGCAGTGTGGACATTGCTACAAAGGTGTGGCTTGGGCTAGCTGCCTAAATCCAATCCTGCCCAACCCCCTGGGTCTGAGCCCGGGTGGCTAGCCCAAGCCACTGTTGTCATGCTGCAACATCCGCGCTCTGCGTAGGCTAGCATGAGTCTGTATACTTGGGAGGCATGCTCCCAGATGCAGTGTAGACATACCCCAAGTGTTGTAGAATCCATGACATCCCTAAGTACATTGTTCCAATGGTTAGCTAACCTCTCTGTAAAAAAAATTACACATCTTATTTCCAGTCTGAATTTGTCTAGTTTCAATTTCTAGCCATTGCATCTTTCTATCCCTTTCTCTGCTAAACCAAGAAAGGTTCACAAAAATGATAGTGACAAATGCAACAAAGAGTTGGTTTGCAGTAAATGGTCTGACCAGCTCTTAATTGCAGGTGTAGAATTTCAAGTTGTTTTTAGCCAAATATATATAATCTGACATTATAATTGTTGAATTATCTTCCAGGAACCTGGCTTAAGAGACATCATGCCTTTATCTGCCTGGCAATAATTTGGGCCTATGCTACATTCTGGGCTACTGTGCCATTTGCTGGTTTGGGGAACTATGCTCCTGAGCCATTTGGAACCTCGTGCACTCTGGATTGGTGGCTGGCTCAAGGTTCAGTGGCTGGACAGGCATTTATTCTGAATATTCTTTTCTTCTGCCTCTTGCTCCCAACTGCAGTGATTGTGTTTTCCTATGTTAAAATCATTGCAAAAGTCAAGTCTTCTGCCAAAGAAGTTGCTCATTATGACACCAGGATTCAAAACAGCCATGTACTGGAAATTAAATTGACCAAGGTAGGTAAGAGACATTTTTATCAAACTCTGTCAGACCGTAAAACCAGGTGGGAAGAACCCATAGATTCTATAATTGGTACTGAATATTTGTGAAGCTCTAATGTGTCAAAGCAAAAGATTGTGGTGGCCTGCGATGTTAGTTGCAGCCCTTATTCTCGCTGTATCTGCAAGGCACAGCTGAAGGAAGGGGAGGATGGAGTTGTGACTAAGGCACTTAGAATGAGACCCTGGAGATGGGTCCAGTCTGAAGCTGTGTAACCTTGGATCAATCGTTTGATCTGTGCCTCAGTTTCCCCATCCATAAAATGGGGATAATAATACTTCCCTACATCACAGGTGTGGTCATGAAGATAAACTTAAAAATGTTTTTGAGGCACTCAGGTATCACTGTGAAGGGGGTCATAAAATAGATGAAAAGCGTGGTGAAATAAAACTATGGACAATTTGTATTCTTCTATCAAAGAAGATACACATACAAGAAAATGTGGTGATCATGTGGATTTCTTTATGATTAAAGATTCACAATGAATTTTTTATAAAAATTAAAGTCCAGACAAAATGCCAAGATGGCCTCTGTTTTCACAAATTTTGGTTACCCCGGCCTTATTTTTGCAGTTCTTTTTTTAAGAAACCCTCCAAGAACCTTGGGAATATAGTAGTGTGTTCCCCATCCGACTGTACCCTTTTTCTGTTTGGCAAACATGTTAGCCACAAGCTTGGCTGACACTGGAGGATTGAACTGGGAACCTCCAGCGCTAAAAGCATCAGTCTCTAGAGCGTGAGACAAAGAGCCAAAGTTTCCAGAAACAGAATCACATCTTCTGTGGCTCGGGTATGGGGGTGGGAGGAAACTTGTAACACACTGACTAGTAGGATACACATTTATTTTCTTTCCATGTTTGGAAATGAACTGAAATTAACAAGTGGTTGCAATGCATATAATAGATTTATAGATTCACAGAGTCTAAGGCAAGAAGGGGCCATTATAATCACCTAGTCTGACCTTCTGTATCACACAGGCCAAAGAACTTCCCCAAAATAATTCCTAGAACAGATGTTTTAGAAAAACATCCAATCTTGATTTAAAAATGGTCAGTGATGGAGAATCCACCGCGACCCTTGGAAAATTGTTCCAGGCATTAATTACCCTCACCGTTAAAAATGCATGCCTTATTTCCAGCTGAATTTATCTACCTTCATCTTTCAGATGTTGGATTGTGTTATATCTTTCTCTGCTAGGCTGAAGAGTTCATTATTAAATATTTGTCCCCCCTGTAGATACTTACAGACTGTAATCAAGTCACCCCTTATCCTTCTTTTGGTTAAGCTAAATAGATTGAGCTCCTTGAATCTATCCCTATACGGCTTGTTTTCCAAACCCTTAATCATTCATACAGCTCTTCTCTGAATCCTCTCCAGTTTATTAACATCCTTCTTGAATTGTAGACACCAGAACTGGACACAGTATTCCACTCACAGTTGCACCAATGCCAAATATAGAGGTAAAATAACATATCTACTCATACGCGAGATTCCCCTGTTTATGCATTACAGACTTGCATTAGCGCTTTTGGCCACAACAACACACTAGGAGCTCATGTTTAGAGCCCAGCAAATCTGCAGATAACCGCTTTATATCCACAGATATTCACATCCATGGATGCAGATGTGGATATCCACGGACCATTTTTATGGACGGTGGATGGATGCGGATCCAAATTTTATATCGAAAGCTTTGCAAACCTGCAGCTATCCGCTTTATATCCACCAGTACCCGTGGATCATTTTTGCGGATCATGGATTCGATGTGGATACAAATTTTGCATCTGCTCAGGGCTCTACTCATGTTCAGCTGATTATCCACCATGATCCTCACATCTGTTTCAGAGTCACTGCTTCCCAGGATAGAATCTCATATCTTGTAAGTATGGCCTACATTCTTTGTTCCTACATGTATACATTTACATTTAGCTGTATTAAAACACATACTGTTTACTTGTGCCCAGTTTACCAAGAAATCCAGATTGCTCTCAATCAGTGACCTGTCCTCTTCATTATTTACCACTTCACCAGTTTTTTTTTCCATCTGAAACTTTATCAATGATGGTTTTATGTTTTCTTCTAGGTCGTTGATTAAAATGTTAAATAGTGTAGGGCTAAAACCTGATCCCTGTGGATGCCACTAGAAACACATTCACTTGATGATCATTCCCCATTTACAAAATTACATTTTCAGATCTATCAGTTAGCCAGCTTTTAATTCATTTAATGTGTTCCATGTTAATTTTATAACATTCTAGTTTTCTAATTAAAACGTTGTGCATACCAAGTCAAATGCCATACAGAAGTCTAAGTATGTTATGTCAACAGTATTACTTTTATCAACCAAACTTTTAATCTCATCAAAAAAAGATGTATTTTACACTGAATGCATCCGATGAAGTGAGCTGTAGCTCACGAAAGCTTATGCTCAAATAAATTTATTAGTCTCTAAGGTGCCACAAGTACTCCTTTTCTTTTTGACAGGATATGTTTTCCACAAACCCATGCTGATTTACATTAATTACATTACCCTCCTTTAATTCTTTATTAACTGAGTCCCATATCAATCACTCTATTATCTTGCCCTGGACTGATGTCAGGCTGACAGGCCTATAATTTCCTGAGTCATCCCATTTACGTTAGCTTTCTTCCAGTCTTCTGGAACTTCCCTAATGCTCCAAGACTTACTGTAAATCAACATTAACAGTACAGCAAACTCCTCAGTCAGCTATTTTAAAACTATTGGATGTGGTTATCTGGACCTGCTGATTTAAAAATGTCTAACTTTTGTAGCTTCTGTTTAATATCCTCCAGAGATACTAGTGGAATGGAAAGAGTGTTATCATCACCATATGATGAGACTATATAATCTGTTTTCCTCCAAATACAAAATAGAAACATTTATTGAACACTTCTGCCTTTTTTGCATTACTATTGATAATTCTACCGTTTCCATCTAGTAACAGGCCAATGCTATTGTCAAGATTCTTTTTATTCCTAATATATTTTAAAAATTCCTTCTAATAAACATGTTTCTACATAGTATACAAAGCCAAAACATCATTGGGAATTCAGACTATGTCAAGGTTCCTTCGCCACTCTGAACTCTAGGGTACAGATGTGGGGACCTGCATGAAAAACCCCCTAAGCTTATTTTTACCAGCTTAGGTTAAAACTTGCCCAAGGTACAAACTATTTTACCTTTTGTCTCTGGACTTTATTGCTGCCACCACCAAGCGTCTCACAAATATAACAGGGAAAGAGCCCGCTTGGAAACGTCTTTCCCTCCAAAATCCCCCCAAGCCCTACACCCCCTTTCCTGGGGAAGGCTTGATAAAAAATCCTCACCAATTTGCATAGGTGAACACAGACCCAAACCCTTGGATCTTAAGAACAATGAAAAAATAATCAGGTTCTTAAAAGAAGAATTGTAATTGAAGAAAAAAGTAAAAGAATCACCTCTGTAAAATCAGGATGGTAAATACTTTACAGGGTAATCTGATTCAAAATATAGAGAATCCCTCTAGGCAAAACCTTAAGTTACAAAAAGACACAAAAACAGGAATATACATTCCATTCAGCACAACTTATTTTATCAGCTATTTAAACAAAACAGAATCTAATGCATATCTAATTAGATTGCTCACTGATTTTTTACAGGAGTTCTGACTTGCATTCCTGCTCTGGTCCCAGAAAAAGACAACACACAGACAGAGAGAACCCTTTGTTTCCCCCCTTCCCCCAGCTTTGAAAGTATCTTGTCTCCTCATTGGTCATTTTGATCAGGTGCCAGTGAGGTTATCTTAGCTTCTTAACCCTTTACAGATGAAAGGGTTTTTCCTCTGGCCAGGAGGGATTTAAAGTGTTTACCCTTCCCTTTATATTTATGACAGACCACCTGCAGCATAATCAGTCAGGCTAATACAGCCATGGAAATAGTTTTGGTTAGTTAGCTGCTGCTGCCTTGACAGTAGAAAGAACCCCAAATTCTGGTGGCCTTATTTTCAGAGATACCGAGTACCTACAGTGCTGCTTTCACAATCATATTTTGCACTTCTATAGCCCCTTCTGTGCAAAGGTCTTGATTCTAAATCTGGAACATTTTGATCCAATATTAAAGAAATATGAAATCAGCTGTTATGAGATTTCTGCCATCTGGAAGGGCAGATGTTCATGTGCAATTTCTGTCAGATCTGAATCAGTACACTGGAAGCTATGTCCCATCCAGTTCCAGATCCTAACTGGAACCCAAAATGTTGGGGCAGGTTTGGGTCTGGGGAGTGAAATCCCATGATCCACCTTCAAAATTTCAAAGGGGGTTGAATTTGAGTTTCCCTTTTTGGCTCATGAATGTTAGACGGCGCAAAAAAAGAAAAGGGGGGGGGGAAGGTTTACAATCTTTATGTAATTTACTTCTTCAAGAAAATTGAAATCACATCCACTAAGAATATCAACACATGGAACAGAGGTTGAGAATAACACAATGTCTGAAAGGCTTTAGCTGGCTTGAGAACAGAGCATTCACTGAAGATATGTATTGTAATCCTACTAATTACTTCTCCCAAATGACTATTCATGTACTATTATCTATTAGGATGCTGTGCAGTACCCTATGAATTATGGTAGTGCTGTCAAACATGGACTTCAGTATACAATATCATGTGATGCAATATAGAACCTGTATCATATTGCATATAGGTGTGGACACACTTGTTCAGGTAAAATAAGTGACTCAAAACTTTAGCTCAATTAGAATATTTTTTGACTTTTGAACAAACTGTATGTAGATCTTCTTTTCCTGACTTCTTATGAAAATCTTTTATGATTTAATAGGAATGTAACTAATGAGGTTCTGCAGAAATTAAATAGGATTCTACAGAAATTATTCCTACAACATCAGAATTTAACAGAGAATGAGATCTCTGCTATGAGCTGGTTAAAAAAAAAATCTGTAGAAGTGTTAAATTCTCAGCAGTGTCATTTTGGAATGTACCAGTGAAATACAATAGTTATGGTTATGCCTACAGGTCTGTCAATGCATGTGTTTGGCAAGTGACAAGTGCACATTCAGTTTCTCACCAGTTCACCCTCCGAAGTAATCAGATTGTCTGCATTTTCTCAGTGAAAGATGGGAAGGATTCTTATTAGCTGCCTGGGCACAGGGAGGAGGTGAGGCTGACTTAGGACTCTAACCCTCCTATTACAACCAACCCTCCACCATGACCTATTGCAAGCTGCTCCCAGGGTGCTGGTGATGCCGTCACACAACATCAGTACTGCCTGCAAGGGAGGAAGAATCCTTATGTTGACTCCGGCTGCTGCCATCTGTTTTCCTCTCTCTAGTCCTTTGTCCTCACTGCACTGACTGGCAAGTCAGGGAGAGGAGAACGCTATAGCTCCTCCAATGCACACAACACTTGGATAGCAACCTAGTGTTCTTTCTGAAACATTAACAGGAAATATTTCAACCCAGTCCTGGAAATCTCTCTAGAGTCCTTGGTCTTACAAGGTTTGTAGTGTGATTGCAGAGGGGTTCAAATGAGTGGTAGGAAGAATGGCCTTGAGCTTTCACCATAAGGCTGGGCTCCAGGAGACCAGGATTCTGTTCATGTCTTTGCCACTGATTTGCTCATTTGCTGATTTGGCAAGTCACTTAGGTCAAAATTTTCAGACTTGGGTGTACAGAGTTGGGCACCTAAATCCCTTTTTAGGCCTTTCAATAAGTAATTTTATATTGACAGGTGCTGAGCACTAGCCAGCTCCCATTGACTTCAAGCCTTACACACCCCAGTTTGAAATTTTGGGGCTCAGTCTCGCTTGACCTCGGTTTGCCATTTATGAAGTAGAGACAAAATAATACTTACTACTTCTCAGGGGTGTTGTGAGGCTCAGTGAATGTGTATTTGGAAAGCAGTTGAGGGAAAGAGGCTGTAAAAGTAAAAAGTATTTCAGATAAGCACCAAATCTGTGGCTTAAGCAGCACAAATTTTTAAATGATCCCAGATCACTTTAATGTTATCTAGGACTTTGACATTTCAAATAATTTCTCTTGGTGTTAAATTCCCAAGAACAAGGTGACTTTTGTTTTTATAAAGGATATATATATATATTATTATAATATTATAATATATATAATAATATAATATATAAAAGATATATAAATATAAATATCCCTTTTTTAAACATCATCCCCTCTTTGTTCTCTCTGTGTATATATATATATATATATATATGTAGTAAATACTCATTTAATTTAACTTCAAAGAATCATATTTCACTGGCTTTTTGTTCAGTTTCTTCACTTTTGGTCTGGCCTAATGACCTCAAGGAAAGATTTGGGCCAACGGAATCCCTATTTGTTCTATAAATGTCAAGCAAAAGTACAGCTGGAGATAGATAAGGAAAAGTGAAATGAATTACAGCATTGGTGCATACTGCAGACCTTATCTGACATGGGGGTCATTTTTCCTTTCTGTTGCATGCACCCTTGCATTGCCTGCAACACTGGGAAAGATGAGTACTGTGCAGTGCAGTGCATCAATAAAAGACCATTCAATTAGGTAACTGATTTCTCTCCTTTCTTTTTATTTTCACAAGGTGGCAATGTTGATCTGTGCAGGATTTCTAATTGCCTGGATTCCATATGCCGTGGTATCCGTATGGTCAGCTTTTGGACAGCCAGATTCAGTGCCCATTCAAGTTTCAGTCATCCCAACCTTGCTTGCAAAATCGGCAGCTATGTACAACCCAATTATTTACCAGGTCATTGATTGTAAATTTTCCTGTTGCCGCTCATTGCAGAAGAAGAGCTCCTTGAAGAAATCCAGGTAAATTTTGGAAAAAAGTGGGCAGCCCAAAAACATTTTGATTTCTGGATACTCATTTCCTTACTCTAAAATCTTTACAGAGCCTAAGCATTGCAATCCTGCAATACAGAAATGGTCCATCTGGCCTAGTTTCTTTTTTTCACATAGTGGCCAGTGCTGGACACTACACAGGAAGGTTTCACCACTCCCCTACTAATACACTTAGCTGTACCACATCTGTAGTATAAAATAAGGGACAATTTCTTCTTGGGTGTAACTGGTGATCAGCTTATCATCTGAAGCACAGAAATAGTTTGTGTAGGTCCTGATTCAAAAAGCATGGAAATGAATGGAAAGATCCCCGTTCACTTCAATGGGCTTTGAATCAGACACATACTCTTACCATCCTAGCTAATGTAAGCACTCAACCCCGAAAGGAACTGATTCCCAGTGAAGTCAGTGGGAGCAGCGTGTGCTCAGCACCTTCCAGGATCGATCCCTAAATGCAGGTGTTAGTCACAGAAGTGCTGAATTAAAAAAAGAATCTTTCTAAGCTATTTGCTTTAGTGATATAATTGAGGCAAAACCAGCCCTTACAAGCCTGCAGTGTCCTGGGGATGCATAGGGCGTATCCAGGGCAGAATTTGGCCTCTTAGCTGTATGGGATGCTAAAGTGTTGGCACCATCTGTGCATTTTATTTTCTTTATTGACAAAGAATATCAATTTGTTGTTCATCACCAAACCTGTGGAGAATGGTGTTGAGGGCCTAGCAATGCTGGGAGATTTAAGCATCAGCATTTCAGATTCCAACAGCATCCTCTGGTGCGGAAGTACAAAATAGAATTTTTCACAGAATTATAGAATTACAGACCAGATCCTATTCATCACCCATTCCCTTACCAATTACAGAACTGCACCCTATAGTGCATTTTCCTGCCTGTTGTCCAGCCTAGGTTTAAATATCCCAAGCTTCCACAGCTTCCTTTGTCCCCCCAGCCCCGGAGCACCTGGCAGGCGGGCGGCGCGAACACCGGCTCCAGCCGCCCGGAGTCCTGGCTGCAGACCTCCCCCACTAGCACCAGTCCAGGGCAAGGGCACCAGAGCCCTCCCAAAAGTGTGTGGGGGGGAGGGGCTCTGCCCGAGGTGGCGGCAAAGGCAGCCCCCTGCCCTTGTCCCAGGCCCCCGCCCAGAGTAGGTGGAGGGACCCAGGATCCCCACAGCTGCCCGCACAGCTCTTTCCGACCCAGCTCCAGCTGAGGGGAGCATCGGAGCTGCAGCCTGGCCATGATTAGAGCCAGGCAGGCAGCTGTGGGAAGCCATGGCGGCAGATCCACTACCTGCCCGCGGTGCGGGGGGCCCGAGCAGTCCCCACCCCCTGGGCTCCCCGCCTACCCGGGGCAGATGGAGAGTCCGCAACTTCGCAGCTCCTTTCAGCCACCTGCGTGGCTCTTACCGTGGCCAGGCTGCAGCTCTGAGGCCCCCCCATCTGGCCAGACCTGGGCCAGGGAGAGCCACGTGGGCAGTTGTGGGGAGCCAGCGTGGAGTTTCAGACCCTTGTCTTGCCCCAGGCGGCCGGGGAGCCCAGGGGGTGGGGACACGGGTTGGGGGCTGCTCTCAGCCCCCTACCCCACACCTCAGGCAGGTGGAGGGTCCGCTGCGGCTCCCTATAGCTGACCGTGCTCCATGCTGGCCTGGCTGGGGGTTGGGGTCTCGGGCAGGGGGGAGAGCGAGGAGAGAAAGAGGGTGGGGTCTGCCCTGGCAAAAAGTGGATGGGCCAGGTCCATCCACTTTCAAAAAGTGGGAGGGCTATGGCCCCCTGACCTGTTCCAGTGGTGGGAAGCAGGAGGGGACTTGGGGGCAGAGTGTGGGTGAGACCATGCAGGCAGTTTGGATAGGCTGAGCCTTCTCCTGTCTTTGATACCCGCTGCCCATGAGTCAGGGTGTGGTTTTTACACCCCTGACCTACACAGCTATCCCGATATAACTTTTCCGTGGAGACCAGGCCTTAGAATGCATCCCTAGTCTACAACTGTCTTTACATTTTACGTGGAAACAAGAACCATCTTATCAACCAGAATTAATGGAGGTTGTCTCCCTCTGCCACAGTACCACTCCGCTATAACCCCCCAGGCTAGTCCATATATTGGTTTTGGCCCTTTCATGTGGAAGGGCTCGGGGAGTGTAAGGACTGAGTGTGTGTCTAGCTTTTGTGCTGGGGTTCCACATGGGAGGGAGGTTTTTTACAGTCTCTCCCAGCTTTTACACCTGCGGAAGGGCTGCTCTAGCCTTAGTGAGGACTTGAGAATTTCTGTATGTTTGGTGATGAATAAGATGATCTGCAGGAATGGAACCTTAATCATTTATAAAGCCAGGTTATTTCAGGCAATATGACTATATTTTTCCTTCCTGTAGGCTGTATACGATATCTGGAAATAGAGAGCCAACAGAAATGAACGAAACCCACCTGGAGTTGTGACAGCAGATGGACAGGTGTATGGAAACATGCTGACAATCATTTTCTTCTCAACTTCTTCCTTTGCAAATTAGTTAAAATACAGTGGCAGATTTATTTTGGTATTTCTTTTCCCCTCTAACCTACATACCATGTGATTTTTCACCCTATCTGGAGTATCAACATTAGAGCTGGGCAAATAGAAGAAGAAAATATAGAGAATATTCATTTCAATTAAAACTATGAATTCACATTGGCCGGATTCATAACCCTTTTTATTTATTTTCTGTGCACATTCATATGAATGACTCTTTTTCTTCATGGAAAGTGAGGGTCTCATGAGTACCCATGCTATGCATTTGTAAGGCTATCTTGAAATCGCTTGATTTCCCTCTTCCTGTTTATCAACTTTATCCAATCCAAGGAACAGAATCCTTGAAGGAAAGGCAACATTTAAGAGAGAAGTTCAGCTAATAGCCTGTTTGAGATGAGTTGTTACACCCAGACTATAGTAGACGTGGTGCTTTTATCATATTGTCATTCCACAGCTGCACTATAAACAGTTCTTACTGTATCGGTTGATTTTCAGACAAGGGACTGAAAAGTGTATGTTGTAGATCCTGGGCTGGGTACAAGGGAAAATACAATTTCCCCTTTTAAAATAGCTAAGTAAGGAAATGAGTTGAGGAAGTTCTGGAAGAGCCTTGTGGTAGGCTTTTCTAGGGAACCTGGGATTCCTCTCCGCCTTCCCCCCCCGAATAATTTCAGTATGACCAACACTACATTTTGCACAGTGCAACCTACTGACAGCCAAATCCAGAAAGTGGGCTTCCATTTGGCAATGAAACGATTCTGCAGCTCTTAATCAGTCCTTACTCATGTCCATGGATGTTTAGCCTAACTAAGGACTGACTGCGACCTGCAGATTGTGGCCCTACAAATAGAGATTTGTTATATCAGAGTTCATGATAGTGGTAAGAGTTACCAGCATTCTGACCAAATTCCAACAAGGTTGGTTTCATGGTTCCTGCCTAAATTTCTCCTTCAATTTCAAACTTTTCTTCTTCACTTCTTGCCCTGAACAATTAGCTAAATAGCTGTTGTGTCACCCCAGAGGTGGCTGCATTTTGGTGATAGATGAAGCATGTGTTCAAGTGCAGTCCTAGATAGAGATGTTTTCCTGATTCAGGGCCTGAAGCATTAAGTGTATAATACTCTAATTTAAATACCGGTAACTTATGTAAACCCTAATAAGGCCTTGTAGCTCTCATCCAATTAATAGATTTTAAGGCAAGATGGAACTATTAGATTATCTATTCTATTACAGGCCATGGTATTTCACCTATTTACCCCTGCACTGAGCACAACAATTTGTGTTGGACTAAAGCACATCTTCCAGAAAGACATCCAGTCTTGATCTGAAGATGATAAGAGATGGAGAATCCACCACTTCCCTTTCTTGCTTGTTCCAATGGTTGATCATGCTCACCTTTAAAAATAAAATTCATATTTCACAAGGACAGTGTATGAAAATCTTATAAAACTTCCTCATAAGATCCACACTTGTGATTGTTGTAATCTGGGCTGGGATCCAAATACTTGAGTCAAATTACTGAAAAAATAAAAGCAAGTCAGTATGAATGAGTGTGAAATATGACTCTGAAAGACCTTTTTATGATATTTTCAGTAATTCAGTGTCTTAGCTATGTTAAGGAACTTCTTGGTTTTATGCATAAATATTAACACAAATGCTGAATAAATATTATAAATAATATTATACATTTACATATCTCATTAGATGCCTTATATGCACACTCAGATTAAACTGTCCTAATTCAAAGTGATGTCAGGTAAAGTCATAAAAACTTAAACTTGCTTCCAATGCCTCCTGGATAAAGAAAATTATTGAATTCCAGTCCTAAACAGGACAGCATTATCCTTTAATATTCACCTATCTTGGGCACCTCAGTTGGCTCAGTGAGATCTAGCCCTGCTGTCTATTTCAAGGTTACAGTTCAGCTTGCAGATGGTAAAGTCACACAGACCATATGGATGTGAAGACTTTTTGATTAGCTTGTTATGTAGACATAGACAATGGAGAAAATGGAACCCCAACATAAAGTTGTAAGTACTTCCCGTACAGATTTCAAAGGCTACTGAAAGCTCATCTTGGAAGGATTAGCTTTTTATCCGTAAACGTCGATTTCACCATATCCACATAAACCAACGAAAAAAATGTTTCCATAGATGACATTTACAGATAGGCAAAGTAAGAAAATTGTTGTTTGAGAATTTATTAGTGTTTGATTTAAGGATATTGACTTTGTATATTTTGACATGTGATGCTGACAATTTGTGTTTTAACAGTTATAACTTTAACTTTTTTAATCTCGATATGTATTGTTAAACAATTCCTATCTGATCCCTGTACTTCCTGGCCCTTCCCCTAATTTCCCACAATGGTGAACATTTAAATTGATAAAAATAGAAAAAAATGCTTAAAACCCATAATTTTGTATATCTGTAAAAATGTAAAATGATAAAAGGCTTAACAATAAACACCAATATTATATGTCAAAATTATAAAAAAATAAAAATTGAATTCTGCCAAGGTTTCTGATGTAGCAAGAGATACCAGGGCTGGCAGAAGATTAAACAGAAACTTTTATGTTATCCAAAATATTGAAGAAAGCAATGCACTGAAATGTAAAAAGTTAACAGTATCCCCAGCCTTTGAAGATTTTGAAAAGTGTCTGCTCATACAATGTAAGCAGAATTGAAGCAAAGGTTCCCATCCAGGGCAGTGGAAGGAGCATGTGAAACCCTGTTGCTTGGTTGGTTTACTTAGCATGGGTGCTTGATGCCTTTGATTCTGTTTTGGACTTTTGACACTCCCCCCTCCTCCCTTTGGAACTTGCAAGTGTCATCAGCATTGACCCCATCATTTTGATCTGGTTTACACTCAAGAGGCAAATTTATACCAGCTGAGAATCTTCTCCAACACTGTGGAGAATCAGGCTTCCTGAATTCAATGGAGTTACTTCTGATTTACAACGGTGTGAATAGAGACTGCCCCACTGCATGTAGTTCTGGTCCCCATGGTTTAGCAAAGATATAGGGAGGGAAAGGTGGAAAAATGCTACAGTAAAAGCAATGGAGGCTCTGAGGAGAAGCCGATACGGTTAAGTTGAAGTAGTCTAGAATAGAGATGGCTTGGAGTGATTTGTCAGTCTCTATATAAGATGATAATGCAAATGAAGGCAGGGAATTATTCACAGTTTCAGAAGATAGTAGAAAAAAACCAAACAAACAAATCCTGATGCTAAAGAAGGAAAAATTGAGCTAAACAGTCTCAGCTACAAGAGCACTTGAGCAATGGAACAGGCTCCCAAGTGAAGCCGTTGGGGCACCATTTCTGTGGATATTCAAGAACAGATTAGATAACCCACCAGTGGTGTCTTTATTATGAGGAGAGTCAGTAGCGACCCCTGTGTATAGGTCGCTATATTGCACACAATGAAGTCATCTTCTTGTGAACTTGCATGCAGTGCAACTGCAACTCCATTGATAGTGAAATAGAGTGAAGGTTAGAGGTTGTTGCAAAGCTCTGAGGTGTGCAAAGTCAGTTAGGGTTCACTCTGCTTAGAGTTACTTTTCTGTGAAAGAACTGGCTTCCCTAAATAAAGTTCCACTTATTGCATACAGGATATTTATTGGTAGCGCCAAATATGCAACACGTGTCGTTCAGGCTGAGATGAAATATTGCAATTTATGATATAACCCTTACTTTGAAATGTGACAAAATATGTTCTCTGCCTGATACTTATATTGTGAAGTTGTTATTATTAATATTATTTGTGTTACCACCTAGGAGCCCTAGTTATGGACCAGGACCCCACGGTGCTTGGTGCTGTACAAACATGGAACAAAAAGTGCTGACCCCAGTGAGCTTACAATCCAAGTATAAGACAAGAGACAACAAATGGATACAGACAGATGGGGGAGTACAAACAAATAATGAGACAATACTTTTGTTATATCTCAGATCTGGATACACTTAAATATTTTGGCGGGGAGGTGGTGATAAAATAGGTAGACAAATGGTTTTTGATGACAGCCCTATTTTCCCCCCCGATATGTGCCTGAGTGAGATGGGACAAAGCTCCCCAACATCAGTGAAAAATAGCCCCATCTCACATTGATTCCTAAACTCAACATGTTTAAACCAGAGCATTTTCAACAATGCCAGTGACTGTTGAGAGTACAATTGTATGTACGGCATATTATGTTTAGAAACCACTAGGCTCATGTATATTGTAACTGAAGGGGAAAATAAATGGTAGAAAATGACATGAATATATATAAAACAACTACTAGGAGCTTGTGGTTATATATTTTGATATTTTAGCGATATAAAATATATTTTAGATATATTCTAAAAAAGCAGAATATAGTAATATAGGAAATGTACCTTGACTTTTGGTGAATAATAAGTGAAATCCAAATCTCATTTCAAAACTTAACTATATATGCTATATATAGAATCATTCCTAGTGCTAGAGGCTCCACTGTAAGCTATTCAGAAAGTAATTTAAATATAGTTTTATATTGATGTTTTCATATTTATTGATTGATTGACTTAGTTTGGCAGACAGGTTAGTAGTTCTAGAATGAAGTAGGTAGTTGAACACTTGTTAGTGTGGAGTTCAGTGTCATGACATTATCCTACCTTGAGTGCATCAGAGCCAAACTCACAGAGATGAAAGAGTTAACTTCCCTCTTTGCTCCATTTAGTGGATTAAGTTCTCTGCTGGTATATATGGCTACAGCTCCATTGAAGTCTGTGGTGCTTCACCCATTTATGCCAGCAGAGAATTCAGCTGGCCCTGTGTTTGCACATTAAGTGTGAAATCCTGGTCTAATTGAAATCAATGGGAGTTTTGCCATTGACTTCAGGATTTCACCCTGAAAACGTGAAACAAAAAGGAGCATGGTTTTTGTGATGGTTCCTTACCACTGTGTGGTTTGTGTTCCTCTTGTTTTGCTTTAACAGTGAAATCCACCCAACTCCACAGAGTCAGTGCAAGGCCCTTTCCGCCACTTACATCACACACTAGTCTTTACTGCAAGGCTGAAGATGGGCTTAAGTACTGTGACTTGATGCTACAAATGTATTCACATCTCAGAACTTTGTTACACCACAATTGTCGCCTAACCTAGCTCTCAACAACAGGCCGGGCGTGCCAACATTTAGTGCGGGCTCATGAAGCTGTTCCTACTTTGAGGGGTTCCATTGACATTGTGGGAAATGCTAAACCTAGTCAAAAGGGCTGTCTGCAGGCAGGGGTGGATCCTAAATTCAATTTTTTTTATATTCCTTGGACCTTGGCCAGATGGAGGACCTGATTTGGATCTCACTTACAGGGGTTTTACCTTAGTGTAACTCTGTAACTTCAACGATTTGCAAAAAAGTAAGTGGGAAAAAAGAATTACAATCTGACCAACATCCAGTCTTTATAAAAGTTGAAACAATTAGCCCAATTTTTATTAATTTATTCTGTTTTGAGTAAGTTGACCAGTTCAAAGCCACCTTAAACCCATTGGAACTAGCCTGCTGGATTCCCATCCAGCGTGAGGGAATTTTTCAATAACATAAGGCTTCCAAAGAATCTCCTATGCTACTACCTCCCAGCTCCCTTGGCCTAAGGGCATGGCCAGGGAAAAGGTGACAAGCTATCCAAGTATCAAAGAAGCATAAACTAGTTTGAAGCTGCCTGTGTCCACCACCCGTGTCTGGTGCCAAGGGTAGCTTGGTCATGCCTGAGAATCTGAACCAGCTATAAACTGAGTTATAACCAGGTTCCCACACATGGCTTTATTAATGTAACAAGGGTCGTACATGTTTGCTTCTTGTCACCAGGAAACTCCATCAACCGGAAGGCCTGGGATGCATTGCCCTAGGGATGGGGGTTCCACAACCACCACTCCTAAGAGGAGAAGATAGTTGGTAGTGGTGGTTGGGGACTCCCTCCACAGGGGGACAGAGTCATCCATCTGCCGTCCAGACCAGGAAACTCAAGAAGTGTGCTGCTTTCCTGGAGCTAGAGTTCAGGAAGTGATGGAGTGTCTGCCGAGACAGATCAAGCTCTCAGACCACTACCCGTTCCTACTTCTCCACATGGGCACCAATGATACTGCCAAGAATGACATTGAGCGGGTCATCGCAGACTATGTGGCTCTGGGAAGAAGGATAAAGGAGTTTGAGGCACAAGTAATGTACTCATCCATCCTCCCTGTTGAAGGAAATGGCCCAGATAGAGACAATCAAATTGTGGAGGTAAGTGCATGGTTGTTCAGATGGTGTTGGAGAGAGGGTTTTGGATTCTTCAATTATGGGATGTTGTTCCAGGAAGAAGGATTGCTAGGAAGAGATGAAGAGAGGGAAGAGCATCTTCACAGGCAGGCTTGCTAACCTAGTGAGGAGGGCTTTAAACTAGGTTCATCAGGGGATGGAGACCTAAGCCCTGAGGTAAGTGGGGACGTGAGATACCAGGAGGAAACACAAGAAGGGGGGTATAACAGGGGAGGTCTCCTGATTCATACTGAGAAACTAGTGAAATTGGCTAGGTATCTTAGCTGCCCTTACACGAATGCAAGAAGCCTGGGAAACAAGCAGGAAGAATTTGAAGTCCTGGCATAGCCAAGGAACTATAAAGTGATTGGAATAACAAAGACTTGGTGGGGTAACTCACGTGACTGGAACACTGTCATGGATGGGTATAAAATGTTCAGGAAGGACACGAGGGGGAGAAAAGGTGGAGGAGTTTCACTCGGTGCAAGAGAGTAGTATGATTGCTCAGAGCTCAAGTATGAAACTGCAGAAAAGCCTGTTGAGAGTCTTTAGGTTAAGTTTAGAGGTGAGAGCAACAAGGGTGATGTCGTGGTGGGCATCTGCTATAGACCACCAGAGCAGGAGTATCAGGTAGACGAGGCTTTTTTCAGACAAGTAACAGAAGTTTCCAGATCACAGGCCCTGGTTCTCATGGGGGACTTCAAACTCCCTAGCATCTGCTGAGAGAGCAATACAGCAGTGAACAGACAATCCAGTTTTTGGAGAGTGTTGGGGACAACGTTCTGGTGCAAGTGCTGGAAGAACCAACTAGGGGCCGTGCTCCTCTTGACCTGCTGCTCACAAACAGGGAAGAATTGGTAAGGGAAGTAGAAGTGAGTGGCAACCGGGGCAGCAGTGGCCATGAGATTGTCAAGTTCAGGATCCTCACAAAAGGAAGGAAGAAGAGCAACAGAATACGGATCTTGGACTTCAGAAAAGCAGACTTTGACTCCCGCAGGGAACTGATGGGCAGGATCCCCTGGGAGGCTAATATGAGGGGGAAAGGAGTCGAGGAGAGCTGGCTGTATTTTAAAGAAGTCCTATTGAGGGCACAGGAACAAACCATCCCGATGTGCAGAAAGAAAAGCAAATAAGGCAAGCGATCAGCTTGGCTCAACAGAGAAATCTTCGGTGAGCTTAAACACAAACAGGAAGCTACAAG